GGAAGCCTCCAGCGCTCTGAGAAGGTGGGTTGGCGAATTTAAGAACTCCCATCAAACCAACCGCCCTTGATATTTTACCTTGCAATACAGCAGAAATAATAGTAATAGGAAAATAAATCCATACATCTTTAACAATAAGTAAAGTTCTCCATAAATATAGCCTGATAATCTTCTTACAGCTATGGGGATTTGAAATTGATTGTAGATCACAAGCAACAGCCAGAACCACAAAATGGGAGTTGAAAATAACATTTATTCATGTTCTTGCTTCAACTTTCTTAACTGAGCAATGTAAACATAAATACAGAACCATCAACGCCAGCATTACAAAAATTGTTAACAGAAAAAACCATTCTACATACATTTTCTTCTCGTGCGTGTGTTTGGGAGGGTGTGGATTCTAAGAACCTGGATTTTGTTTCAATGTTGATAGAATCATCTCATGTGAGATTCAAACCATGTGAAAATCTTGTCAGACTCCAAGCTAGTCATTTCATGGTATGCAAAGGCAAGATTCAACTCTTCTTGAATGTGATGGGTTAGACTATTATCGGTTAAATTAATCTCACTCCCCTTGAGGGCTTCTTTCCACCGTGTTTCCCGCCCATCTTTGAGCATCTTTCCATTTCCATCTATGAAGCCCTTGGCTTGGAAAAGCTCAAACAACTTACCAGAAACACTCTGGTTGAGTCCCGGGATTCGGTCAGCCAAAAAATGTGGCGACAAACTAAACTCCAAGCATTCAATTTCTGCAACATCAACTCCTTTACTTTTCAAAAACTCCATATTTTCATTGATCTTTTGTTGCCTAAATTGATCTTTCGGCATGTGCACAAACAGAGTAGGTGGGTATCTTTCTGTTACTTCCATTTGTTCATACAACCCTTCAGCAATCATCAAAGTAATACTATTAAACTTCAACTTAGTGGCCAGCACTGAAAGAAAATATCCACCAGAGGAGGCACCTAAACCTACAAGAGGAAGTTTCTTGAGTTTGTTCTTTTTAACCCACCAAAATATTATGCCTTTCACGATCGCTAATTCCTTCCCCAGTGTCCAACATTTTTGAGAGCTTGATATTGTAAGAACTGCAAAATGTCTGCTGAGCGCATGAAGGACAATCAACCGTTCCTCAGGCAGACCGACACAAGAAGGGCATTTGGGAGATTTGTCCCAGAAGTTAATGGCTTTTCCATTGCAGCCATGAGCAAAGAACAAAACTGCCTTTGGTGAATCGGGAATCTGCGATATTATGTCAGTTCCATTCCGAAACTGTATATTTGGATTAAATTGCACAAGAGAATTGAAGCTATCCCACTTTTGCTTTGGAGTTGCCTCAGTTAAAAGATCATGCTGTTGAGACTCCTTGCGAAATAACATCATCCACACAAATAGGATAAGAAAAGCAGACACAATGAGAACTGAGATTGTCTGCTGTTTGTACCAGGCTTTTGATTTGTTTCCATGCTTCACCATACCTGAAGAGAGGAAAACATTGCTTCTTACTAAGATCAATCATGAATAATTTCAATGCTACAATTGACGCGACAAAACTATCCATCGTCTTAGAACCTCTAGTAGATCCTATTCAACCAGTCCATCAAACTGAACTAGTCTACCTCAAAGCCTCACTCTTTCCCAATATCTTACTAAAGCAATCCTTTTAAGTTTTTTGTTAACTCATTTAACTAGTTGAAATCTCTAAATTTAGGACAATACTATCTTACTGAACAGGAGAATTCAGAGACTCGAGAAGGATGATGAAATGTAATTTCATTTCCATACAAGCAAGCCAGGCCTAGAGCTCTTAGGATAACCACATTCATTCTAGCACATCTTTTCTTGACGAAAGCAAAAGGGGATACAATATCTAGAAGGATTGCTCAATTTCTTTCATAGAGACAAGTACAATTAACACATTTAGAAACATTGTCAAAACTGAAAACAATTAATCCAAAGCAATTTGAGGAGCTGATTCTTTGTGATTTAGAAACATCTGAAACCTGGGATTGCACGAAAAGATCGTGAGAACATGAATTTTTCGACGTTAATCAAGAAAATCAGATCAAAATATGAAGAAGAGCAATCCTCCCTTCTCTTCTCTTGTTTATATCCCCTTCTTTCCCAAAAGACGAACACATAATTTCTCGAGTTAGATCGAATAATAGTATAAATTAATTCAACGGCGAGAGTTTTACCTCCAAAATGTCAAAAGGGCGAAAGGGTTCTCAGTTCCAAGCGATTAATCGATGTTGCGGATTCGCCTGCGAGTATAAGCCCTCCAAAAAGCTTTCCTCCACAAACCGCCAAAATAGAAAGGGAATTCCTCGTCTAGTATCTCTCAATTTAAATTCAATTACAGGAAAAAAATAAATAAATAAAATCCTTTTGGGCTCAAGTGAAGTATGGATACCTTTTGGGCTCAAATTAACTGGGCTACCATTTGGGCTCAAATTAACTGGGCTACCATTTGGGCTCAAATTAACTGGGCTACCATTTGGGCTCACTATTTGGGCTTAAGTTAACGAACTACTGTTTTTTTTTTTTTTTTTTTAAATAAAAGCAAGTTCCCCAATCAATCCGACGTAAAAAACGAGTAAAAAGAAACAAAAAATTACACCTTGAGTTGGAGATGACTGTCTGCTTACGTAACAGCAGTTGATGATTAGATCGTCGCCACGTGTACAAGGATCCGAACATGACGTTGACTATCCTGCTATGGCTTGACAAGCCAATATTTTCGCCGACAGGGGATTGGGGGTTTCTGTGTCATGTTATTACCACGTCATCACTTGCCACGTAATCCCCAAATCTCATTAATATTCACGTGGCCTGTCTTAATTGGGTATTCATGAAAGTTAGTGGTTCCTATATTCGTGTAATAAAAAAAAAAAAACAAAAATTTATCATTAAAATTAAATATCAGTTTTTATTATCTAACTTTGTAATTTATAAACCTAACAAATTGTTAATTAGTTTATCAATCTTTGTAAGAAATTTCATTAATTTTAACTATAATTTTCACAATAAAAATTATAATCATAGATGTTTGGTATATTTAATTAGCACAATATAAATATTATAATAGAAAATTACATAAATTATTCTTTATTTTTTTAATCTCATTATTGGGCTTATTATTTTAGATTCATATAAATTCCAAGGATTTAAATATATCATTAATTAGAATTATTAATTGGAGTTTGGATAATATTAGGATATAGTTGTGAGTCTCAAAGAATTAAATATCAATATTGAAATTTTATATCTATTTTTTAATATATCCATATTGAAAATATTAAACTCACATATGTATAATAAAATATCTCTATTTAAATTAAAATATGAATAAAATGATGGTACGGACGAATCATGAATATTAAACATATTCATTATTATTATTTTATTATTATTATTTTTGAAGACTTCTTAAGTAGACTACAAACAATAATACTTATTTTCTATCCAACTTGTGAATATTTTTAATATTTTTCCACGCCGTTTCATGTAATTTACAATTTTAGCCTTTTCAAAGGTGGAGTTGTATCAGTAGGAATGTTCATTTCTTTCACATAAATCCGTCTTCCATTAAAAATAAATAAATAAATGACAGAACAACAAAGAAAAAATCTTCCATTTAATTTTCTATTTTTGTAATGAGTATCATAATATTCAATTTTTTCAGGATAATTTTCATTTTTCTTCTTGAAATTTTCCTACCTTTTAACATTTCTAAGCAGTACTATATGCCTACATTGGACTCATTCAAAAAGTTAAATCGATTTGATACATTTTCCACTGATCCTTATCTATTACCTTATTTAATAACCTTTTTCCTCTCCATTATTGAATTATAATAATTATTGTTATTATTAATAATGTTTTCCAAAATACTTATTTTAACTTCAATTATTTAATCTACTCTAAACACGCAATGAAAAAAATTAATTCGTATATATGTAATTTTTTACTCAAAAAATCATTTTATGATGCTCAAGAGACTACGTGTGACAAGTGACCACGTATATTATAAAGTCAAAAAAATGTCCAGATGTAGAGTCCACATATTTAATAAATTTGAACGTTTTAATTATGATAAATAAAATCAAGAATTTTCAAACTCAATTGGATGATTGAGAATTACGTAGTATTTTTATTCGTCTAGATAATTTTCATGATTATTGTCTCAGACAATTTTTATTCATATTTTTTAAAATTAATGTAATATACATCGAATATATATGTATATATTTTTTTTCAAAATGTTCCATCGCGAAGAATCTATTGGTACAACAAACAATGTCTTCCCTTGCCCGAAATTTATTCTCCTCCTCACACCATTTCTTTAATTGGAACAAAGGGCAATTTAATCATAAGGAGGCATATAAAGCTTGTATTAATGAAGAAAATTAATAAATATATATTTTGAGACAATATTTTATATTCTACCCTTATAATATTTTATATTCTAATTTATAACATTTCAAAATTTTTGAATTATCGGAATATCTTTTGGATAGAAATATGGTAATAAGAAATATAATATAACAACAAAATTTTAAAAATAAAATAATTGAAATCAATGAATCTTTTATAATTTAATAACCTACAATAAACAAAATTAGAGATGTAAATTTAAAAATTAAAATTTTATTTAGGAGTTTAGAATTAAAGTAAACGAAAGGGACCTTGCATCGGCTCCGCCGTTATAGGCGAACGTCATGGGCTGAGGCAGGCGGAAACAGAGAGAGAAAAGAATGTGTCGGTGACAAACGGAGACCCAATGGCAAATCCGCAATTAACTTCGAAACAAAGGGCAATACCTTAAACTTGATCTCATTCCCGCGGCTTCTAACGCGGCATTATCTTTGGATGTTCCCTTTTTTTTTTCTTCGTCGCACCATTTTCCCCCAAATACCTTTATGAATTATTACTCATATAATTCCCAAAAGCACCATTAAAAAAAAAAAAAAAATCAGTATTTTTAAAATAAATAAATAAATGAAATAAAAAGACGTAAAAGACCACTTCGCCATAGCTCTTCGTTTTCGCGGAGTCTCAAACCCGTGACTCTCTCAGTATTGGATTTTCCCCAATTCCCTTTCTCAGTTCTTCTTCTTCTTCTTCTTCTTCTTCTTCCTCCTTGAATGGAGTCCATTCAATATCGCCTCTTCTCTCCATCGCCATCGCTATGAAGTTCTACATCTCCACCACCGGCATTAAGCGGCTCACTATTTCCAACTCTAACTCCAACTCCACCGCCGTCAAGCCTCCCGCGCCGTCGTCCACGGCGCCTCATCGCAGAATCTCCACTCGTTCCGTTTTGCCGCTCCTTCTCACTCTCGCAATTGTTCTCCCCTTCCTCTTCGTTCGGATCGCCTTTCTCGTCCTCGAATCCGCCGCCGATTGTTCTTCCTCTCCTGGTAAGTACATTCAATTGCCGATACATTTTCACCGAATTTCTGATTCTTGAGGAGTTGCAATACTTAATGATTGCTGCGCTCAATCGGTTTTCACCTCTGTTTCGATCGGTTGCAACGATCTCTGTAATCACTTTATCTTGTTGTTATTCATGAATTTTGCAGAGTGTTCTGGATGGAGGTTTTTCAGTCGCGATGACGCATCTCATTCGGTTAGCATTTTTTTCACTTTAATTTCGAATATACCCTAAACAACTCTGAATCCGCCTTTTTCCAATTTTCAACTACATTTTTTTCTTCATTTTCTTTGGCTTTTACTTGATTAGAATTCTTTCATTGCTTAATTTTACGTTTCGTTCTTGTGGTGATTAACTGTGAAAATTAATGGAAACGTTTAATTATGACATTAAACGGATTATACTAATTTTGATCATCTCACTGTCATGAATGTTTTATTTATTTATTTAAATGGAGAATTATATTTTCCAATATGATTTTGAAAAAAAAAAAAGAAAAGAAAAAGTCTCCGTATTGTTTCTGATTGGTTGTCTTTAAAATGTTTCTATAAAAAATATTTACGTTTCTCCAACTACTCTATACTTTTTTCCTTTAAACTTTAAACTCGCATTTATGGTACCATGAAGTTGGATGCTTCTTCTACGTACCTGGATTTTAAAAATATTGAAAATTTGAGTTTAATTTATCTAAAAGTTTAAATTAAATTTTTTTGTGATAAATTGCAGAAGGTACGCGTCTATATGTATATATATTTTGTTTGTATATGTTGAAAATAAATAAAATATTTTAACTTGCGTTGAAATTTTATATAGTCTTTTATGTTATGATATGTTTGGTAACAATAGTACAAAAAAAATTATGATTTAAGGAAATAGAAAATAAGACGATTGGGTTGATAGTGACCGACTTACCCTCGTAAAACCAAACCCATCATTTTCTTAATTGGAATTTTTGTATACTCTAATATTTTCTCCTTTTGTTTTTCTCTCTTAACTTACCCAAATTTCTAACATATATATATATATTATTGAGATGGGTTTTGTTGATAAATTGAGAAAGCTAGGATGGCATTTTGGTCATAAAGCAATGGAAATTAATTCTTCTTCCACAGGCAGCTTTTGGGACATGTGGCTACTTGCTTAGCAATCATTTTTATTTTGGTCCACTTGAAATTATTATTATCTATCTATATATATATATATATACACACACATATTCAATAAACAAAAAGAAAGATATTTCCTCAACCCCTCTATTTGACTATCTTTGATTCCACGTCGCTCTAATTATGATACTCAATAAATGTTGAGAAATATGGATACCCATTTAAGCCAAATCTGAAAAACGTTCATATTTAAATTTTTCTTTCTAATTAGCTCCAGATATTTGGAAATGGAAATATAAGGTTATAAGGTAAATTCAATTGAATACAGAACTGATGGTGTATTTTTCTTTTTCGTCTTGCTTCTATTGTGATTGATGGATAAATGACAGAGACTGAGCGAGGAATTGTCCAGAGCACTTGTGGATTCAAAAGAAGGTGGATCTGTGGGGAGTGAAGATGGAGTGGGATCCTTCAACGAGCTTGTGAATGAGATGATTTCAAAGCGACAGGACATGAGGGCCTTCGCATTAAAGACTAAAGCAATGGTAATGTATCTTTTCGATTTCAGTTTGGATTTACTCACAATCGAAATATGTCAAAACAAATAGGAGAGCAAAGGAAAAACTTAAGAAGAGAGAGCTTTTGGAGACCGCTAGTAGAACAATTTATAACTTCTATAGTAACTTTGAGAGAATTGTTAGTCGACTTAGTAGAACAAGTTTATTAGCTCACAATATCTTCCGTACGCTATCGAACAAAAGGTCAAATGTACAGAAGTTTAGTATAATTATTAGTAGCCTTAGTAGAATAAGTTTATTAGTTCACAATATCTTCTATGGAGCGTGAATAAAAGATCAAATTTATCCGAAAAAGTAATTTTAGGAGAATGATGAATAGATTTAGTAAAACAAGTTTATTAGCTCACAATATCTTTGGTGCAGCTATACGCTATGGAACAAAAGGTCAAATCTGCCAGAAAGCGTGAATCTGTGTATTGGTATTTAGCATCACATGGTGTTCCAAAGGGCCTGCATTGTCTTTGTCTCAAACTGGCTGAAGAGTATGCTGTAAATGCCAAAGCTCGAGCTCGTTTGCCACAGCCTGAATATATTTCCCACCTTACTGACCCCTTCTTCCATCATCTTGTTCTCTTGACTGACAATGTCCTCGCCGCCTCTGTTGTCATCTCCTCTGCCATTCGACACTCAGCCGCCCCTCAGAAGTTGGTGTTTCACATTATCACCGATAAGAAAACATACACCCCAATGCACGCGTGGTTTGCAATCAATTCAATTGATTCGGTTGTTGTGGAAGTTAAGGGACTTCACCAATTCGATTGGTCTGAGGAAGTCAACAACAGGGTTAAAGATATGTTGGAGATTCATCGCTTGATATGGAAGCGTCACTATAACGATTTCAAAGATGGAAAAGAAAACAGAGAATTAGATGTTCTAAGCTCAAGCAGCCTCTCCCTCTTGAATCACCTTCGTATTTATGTTCCCGAGGTAATCCTTCTTGTTATCATTTATTTCTCTTGAACTGAAATTCTAATAATGATGATTTAAAACTATTAATGTGTCTCATTCAGCTGTTTCCAGATCTGAATAAGATCGTTTTCCTGGACGATGACATTGTGGTGCAACATGATATGTCCTCTTTGTGGGAGTTGGACCTTGGTGGGAATGTTGTTGGTGCTGTCGTTGATTCTTGGTGTGGAGATGGTTGTTGTCCAGGAAGGAAATACAGCCACTACCTGAACTTCTCCCATCCTTTGATATTGTCCAACTTCGATCCCGATCGATGTGCGTGGCTCTACGGCATGAATGTTTTCGATCTTGAAGCTTGGAGAAGGAGCAACATTACCTCCACATATCATCAATGGTTGAAACATGTTAGTTCCCTTTCTTATTCCACCAAAGCTATAAACGTGCATAAAACTTCCATTGACGTCCACTGCCACTATTTTACAGAATCTCAATTCTGGATTGGCACTGTGGCGTCCAGGGGAACTTCCTCCATCCATGATGGCTTTTGAGGGACATATGCAGCCCATAGATCCATCATGGCATGTGGCTGGATTAGGTGAAAGACCCCCACAACTTTTAAGCAAAGAGGTCCTGGAAGATGCTGCTGTCATACACTTCAGCGGCCCTGCGAAGCCGTGGCTTGAGATTGGGTCTCCAGAGGTACGGAACTTGTGGAATAAACATGTAAATTTCTCAAACAAGTTTATTAAGAGATGCAGAATAATGGAGTGAGGAGAACGAAGTTGTCTATCACTCTAGCTAAACTATATTCATTTTGGGATTAGATACCAGATGAAGAAATATATATATATGGTCCGAGATAAGAGGGAAGAAGGTTTTGCCTTCAGTCTCTACTCGGACTAATCTCTACAAAAATATGATATTGGTTATATATTATAATGTCCATACACTATTACTAGGTAATAGATGAAGGTAGCCAATGCAATATTATTCAATAGAATCAGAGTTTTACAACCTTGAAGGTATATTGTGATCATTGATGTAACTATCTACAACGTTGTATATTAATTTCATATCTTAATCAAATACCTTATTCTAGATGCTAATTGCTGTTGTATTAACTTTAATTTATGTGCTAAATATTGGCATCATCCTTTCCCTCATTTTCCTCTTAAACACAACTATGTTGTATTGTTCATGTTGTGATGATGTGAAAGGCAGGCACCCACTGACGCTGAGTGGAAGAATGAGCTGGTTTATTGCGAAACAACCTTGCAAATGTTATTTCTTTTTATGTTTTGTTGGTTTGCTGTAGTCTTTAGAGCACATTTGGGCATAGTCTTTTGTCCGTAGTACCCAGCCTGATTTTGAGAGCATTTTGGATATGGCAAAGTGAAAAGGACACACTGTTAGTGGTTTTCTGTTAGTACAGAGAGATGGGGCCATGGATGGTGCAAGTGGAGTAAGATTAGGATATGGTGAAATAGATCTATGGATCAAGTAAGTTATATTGTTCATTTTAATGTTTGCCATGACATACACATAGAACCTCTAGCTACCTAGAATAGATATAAGTTGGCTAGAGTCCCAATCAAATGAATATACATGCACGAGCGACATATATAATCGAACAAAACTTAATTTCGCATGAGTTGCATTCGATCGACAAAAGAGAACCTCAGGAAGGAAAATCTCGATCATATGAATCGCTTTGTTTATTTTTCCAATTTTAAGGTCTTATTTCTATTTCTAATTGTAATTTAATTTAGAATTAGAAATAATACCTCAAAATTGAAAAATAGAGTTTTTATCTGACAAATAATTCAATAAAAACACACTAATGCAGTTGTTTATTACTATTTAAAGAAAAACCCAAAAGCAAAATAACATGTCGTTTCATTGGTTGTACACCTTGACTTTCCGGCTTATAAATGAAGTCCGATGTCGACCGCGTTCCAAAGAAAACGACGTCAAGTGGATGGCTTGAGAAGACCGACATGTCGTATTCTACTTTCTCTCAGGATCGAATCTTTGGATTAATTATGGAAGCTCATTCCTTTTTCAATCACTATCTAATTAGAGAAGCATTCACCTCAGAATTTCAACAAAAATAAATGTAAATTCCAAAAATACAAATATATTGATTTTTATTGGCAAAATGAATTAAATTCTACGTTTTATTTTTTAAAAATAAAATACTTTGTTTGCAATTATTTTCACTCAAAATTAAAAGTAATTAAGAACATATTAAGTAAAATAATAATGAGTTAACTAATAATGCCACTGCTATAATATCATTAATTATAGAAGAATATATTAAAAATCAATATCAAAAACCTCAAGAGTAAAGATGACCAAAACGAAGATTATTTCAAGTTTCTCTTTATGGTTGGTTCTATTAATGAATTTATGTTGATCCAAACTCTTTTTTAGCATCTAGAATCAATGTGTTAGCTTCAAGGAGTCTATTTCACCAACACCTCTATTCTTTCATAGGGATTTCATCGATGCTAACCAAGGAAGAAGCTTGTTTTTTGTTTTAACTACATTGAAGGGGTGGTTTTGCATAAGGGCTGGGCAAGATGAATTTGTAGAGTAAGGAAGAAGAAGAAACACGAACCACGTGGGGGTTTTCACATCCCCTACCAACGATTAAGGTACTTTTGAAATTTTGTGAAAAAGTCGAGGGTATTAATGCAATCTTTTAAAGTTCTGAGGTATTACTATGATGAGATACAAAGCTCGACCTATTTACTATGTCTAACATTGAATAATCATGATTCTATTAGAATATCAAAAAGTAAGAATAAGATTGAAAACCTCAAGAAGTGATAAAGGTGAAAGGAAGGTATATATCTACAAACCTTTCTATGGATATATGCAAGTTGGAAAGGTTAAAAAGCATGGAAAGGAATGCAAGGAACAGTCCCTTATATATTGACTAATTTCCTTCCAAGTTTTTGGCTTTTGCTTGTTGTGTGGGTAAAGAACATCATTGGGAACAGACATTCTTTACCTTGCTTAATTATTCAACTTCAGATATATTGGACTAGCTTATATACCCAAACTTCTCCTCCATTCATTTCATCATCTTAAAAGAACTAGCATAATCCAAAGTTTGATTGGCAGCTGAAAACAAGGAAGAATTAGTTTGTCAGACATGGGTGTTCTTGGAGCTGTTGCTAAACATTTGGATTCTATAATTGGGTACTAATCTTTTGGGGGGAAATCCCAAATATTTGGTTGTTTAAGCTTATTATCTCAATTCTGCCTTAGTGGGTTATGATTTCCTTGCTTAACCAGTTTCAACTTTTCCTTGATCCAGGCCTGGAGTAATGCTTCTTTTTCCTTTGTAAGTGCACATAACTCATTTTCATTACATCTTACATACCTCTCTCTTTCTCTTCTCTTTCCTAGTTCCAAGGCATGATTCATGCAGAAATGAATGAACAGATATGCATCAATAAGGGCAATTGAGAGCCCTTCAAGTCTTGACGACCAGCAATGGCTGACTTATTGGGTTATATACTCCTTCATAACCCTCTTTGAACTAACATTTTGGAAAATCCTGGCTTGGTATAGTTCTTCTACTCATAATCAAAACTGTTCTTTGAGGCTCTTCTTTCTCTTCAAGTTTGCATTTTAAAGGCTATGGAATGGCACGCAGGATTCCACTTTGGGGATACCTTAAGCTCCTGGCTTGTTTATGGTTGGTTCTACCAATTTTCAATGGGGCAGCTTACATCTACGAGAATGTAGTGAGGAAGTACATTAAGATTGGAACTTACGTGAACCCAAACTATCCAGAGAATCAAAAGAAAGTGCTCCAGATGATGACTTTGGATTCTAGGAAATCAGTGGAGCGTTACATTGATAGATATGGACCTGATGCTTTCGAACGAGTAGTCAAAGCCGTAAGCTGATTCTATCCATCCAAATCTAGCTACCGTACATACGGATATCTATGATGCTAATTCTGTAAATACTTGATTTTGTAGGCTGAAAGAGAAGCAAGGAGACACTGAGGAGAATCCTAATATGATGAAGTCAAAGAATTGTGGACACTTTAATTTATAAGGCTGGAGCAATACTTGGGTTCTGCTAGCAGTACGATTTCATGTTGCATACTTGTATTTTATGTATTCTGCACAAGAAGGAAAAAATTTGAAGGGTGTTTCTATATATATATATATTTTTCCTGTGGACAATAGCTGTGAAGAAAAGAGTTTCTACCAAAGAATAATGTTCTTATAAATTCCTGGCAATCGATTGAGACAACTAAATCCTATACTCTTTTTCCTGCAAATTCGATTTGAATAAGGAAGCAGACATGATACGAAGAAACCAGTTAAAGCGGCTAACAATGCTCTCAACCAAACAAGAAAAACAGATCAAGAACAAAAAGTTTGAGCACTCCTTACAAATCATTCTAAGGAAAAAAAAAAAAAAAAAATGATACACAGAACAAATATCATAACATGCATGCTGCAATTCCATAAGCCAGAGCAGACAACTGAATCAGAACCAAATTTATAAGCGCTTCTATACAATTAACTTTGAAAGAGACTTACAGCTTGTCCTCGAATTCAGAAAATGGGATCATTTGCTCCTTCAATCCCGTTCTCTTGCGGGTATCTGTAACTAGCTTAAATCTCACTAACTTAAAATATAGCGCAGCTCACTCGTTAGCTTAAATCGCATTGTTTAAACATAACAGATAATCATAACTTAAACGAGATTACTTTAATTACGCTTCACGATGATTCTTCCAATTGTTTAATCCATCGGAAACTAGAAACATCCAAACCAGATCTCGAAATAATTTATCAAACACAAACGATTGAGAAAACGGATTTAGCAAGGACAGAACCTAGAAGAAAGCGGTAGTGGAAGAACATAAACAAATTCAGCAGACAAAGAATGCTTACAAGAAAGAAGAACCTGGGAGACGATGAAAGGAGAGCAATGGAAAAGAATATTCCTTGAGCCTCCACAAAAGCAGAGCACGAGCGAGGAAATTCCATTTCTTTTCGTAAAACTAACCCTCCTTAAAATGTTTTTTTTTTCTTTGCACAAATGTGTTGCGAAATTGTCTATAACTTTGTTTTCTTGCGATTAGATTAGGTATTGTATAGGTGTTGTCGGCTTTAGCTCAGCTTCACAGTTTCAAAATACGTATATATTAGAAAGAGGTCTTCACACCACTTATAAAGAATGTTTCACACTGGCACATCTCCATACCATTTGTAACAGTTCAAGCTCACTTAGTAGTACTGGCACATCACACCACTTATAAGAAATGTTTCACACTAGCACATCTCCATACCATTTGTAACAGTTCAAGCTCACCTAGTAGCACTGGCACATCACACCACTTATAAGGAATGTTTCACACTGGCACATCTCCATACCATTTGTAACAGTTCAAGCTCACCTAGTAGCACTGGCACATCACACCACTTATAAGGAATGTTTCACACTGGCACATCTCCATACCATTTGTAACAGTTCAAGCTCACCTAGCAGATATTGTCTGTTTTAGCCCGTTACATAGTGTAAGCCTCACGATTTTAAAACGTGCGGTAAAGGCCTAGAACCCTACCCGGCCCTTCAAAAAGTCTATCTTTGCTCCTCTTGTATATTCGATGTCTCTATCTTGCTTATGTCTTAACTTGTCTTCAACGTCCACTCCGTGTGATGTGTTAGATGATGCAGCACCATTCTCCTCGGTCGCATCATGGCGCTTGTTTAGGCTTTTGTATGGCCGGATGAGCGCCACTTGAGGGTCACTGTTTCTCTTGTCGCAACATGAAGGTCATAATTTCCACACCCTTATAAGGAACAACCAATCGATGTAGAATTTCACAAAATGTTTGATTCCAATTGAGTTATATTCACGTTCATATGGGGAAGGATTAAACATTATACATTAGAGTTTGTATAAACCAATTGATGTTGGATGGCGAGAGAAAATAAGAGTAAAATTCAGTTTTTTATTTTTTTTTATTTTTTTCATTTTTGGTTTTTTGACTTCAAAAAAATAACTTCTCACCCTAAAAATAAGATTCTATTACCAACAGAAGTGAAAGCCTTAGTGATCTGTGAACCCCTAATTACCAAATACTAAAGCCCCTTTAATTTGACTTAGTGATCTGTGAACCCCTAATTACCAAATACTAAAGCCCCTTTAATTTGAAACAACAGAAACAAGTACTAATTAACCAAGTTCTATTAAGAATTAACAAGTAATAAGTCTAAAATTGTGTCCAAAGATATATAATAGGAACTTGTCGTCATCATCAACATTTATTGTGACGTAGATATATCAATACTGAAATACGCCCATTTGGATGGTCTCCCAACTGATAGCAGCAACAATAAGATCACTTTCCCCCATAATTGCTAAGCTTCATGTGAAACTAGGGGCCCCTGAACTTCGCGTAGGGACAATGCCTCTTGGCCTGCTGGTATTATTCTTCAAATTAAAGTTCTAGACAGGCCAGTAACTAGAAAAGCTCATAAAGGAAATGATCAAAAATCCTTTTAAGTTAAATGAAAAGGCAACATTTGTTTAAATGTAGCATATGCAACATATGCAGACTTCATGATTTGGTTCTTATGGATCTAACATATAGATTCGATCTTTTGACCTCTTAAGTGAACGACCGACAATATTCAACTGACAAGGATGGTACGATTGAAACGAGGAAGCAGACTTATGGAGTTAAAGGCAGGGCTAACGATTCTCTCATCCATCCAAGAACAACAGAAGAATACACAAATGTTTGAGCATAATTTCCAAGGCATATATCTATATCTATATATATATATATATATAACATGTGTGGAAGAGAGAGAGAAGGAAAAGGCAGGGAATGTATAAATGAATACTAACTCATTTGCTTTTCGAGAAAGATCTGCTGCCTGGACTAGTCCTTTCCCTTTTAAACAAGGCTGTCAGGTTCCCGAAGCAATTGCAGAAATGATTCATCTGTAAACGATTAATGCGACCAAAATGGGGAAGTTTCAGATACGATGATTGATTGTTAATATCACTGACTAGCTAGCAAAGAGTGAGAGAGGGTTTGTGGTGCACCTTCAAGCTCCTTGTGTGCATAAGTTCATTGTTGATATCCTCCAACCTTCTTATTATTTGCCGAAACGTGGGTCTTTTATGTGGCTTCTCTTCCCAACATTCCTCGATTAGCCTGTACACAAACTGACTCCGACAATCATTAACAAGTATAGCGTACTTTATTATGAGCCAACTTGAAACGAAAAATTTCCAAAATAGTACATGCCAATATATTTAATATGCAGGAAAATATTATGTAAACGAGAGGGGGGGAAAAACTGTACTCCTTCACTCCATCTGCATAACGCTTAGTTGGAGCCATAAATGGTGGGCGTTCACCAGCTATATAAGCTTTAGGTACTTCGTTTTCTGGCTTTGTTGGAAAAGGTGGATTGCCTTCTATCATCTACAATGATCCCATGAAATTTTCAGGCATCAATATTATCAATGAATTATAAATCCAAAAGGCTAAAATCTCATGAATATTAAACACAGCATTAGAGCAAAGATTCTTTATAGGAGGATCAAGAAGAATTAAGATGAACCAGACCACAAGTGGAACACTGGCACATATAAGAGAATGATTATTTAGAGAGATTTCACCTCTTGCAAGATCAAGGCAAATGAAAATACATCCACTTTCGTATCGTATTCTTCATCTTTATAAACCTCAGGCGCCACATATCGCCCTGTACAACAGAAATGGAAACTTCCATAAAAGGGTATAATTAACACACGCACGCGCATTCATACATAAGACTTGAACATTGTGTAAATACACGACAACAACTGCATAACATATCAAGAGAAAAGTAACACTAGTTTTAGTCAAAGCATAAACATACATGAAGTATCGTGACATGCCACAGCCACAGGTCTGTCTTCTTTGACCCTATTTGACAATTTCAGAAGTTTGCTAACTCCAAAGTCTGCAACTTTCAGGTGCATAGAATCATCCCGCAGTATGTTTCTGTTGTCTTACTCATAAACAAATAAGCAACCTTCAAAGTTCAAATTATTCAGCAATTGATAACTTACATCTCGTGTCATACTATTTAGCAATTGATAATTTACGACTCATGCCAATGGAAGCCTAACGCTTTAAGTACACCGATGAAAAAAATATTGAACACTTAAATCTATTGTTGAAGTTAATTATAGTTGTACAGTCTAAACCGTCTTCAAGAGTTTATATTATTGTATCAGTTTACATGATAGTTACCGATTAATCCAAACAAATAGCGCTTCATAAAGGATACAATGATTATTAGATATCAACAGAAATAGTTGCATGAAATCTCAGAGTGCCTGCATCAGAAGATGCTTTTACTCTTTTTCTTCACCGTCTTGAAGAAGCTATAAACAAAAGGAATTCAGGCATGGTAATTTCAATTTGGATCCTGTCATTTCTGATGCCTGTTATATTGGCACAAAGCTCTACTATGCATCGGCACATGACATGTTCTACTTAATCATTTCCAATCTGTTTTTTCCTACAACTATTTCTAAAGATAAAATGGTAAGGGAGAAGAGACAAAAACATACGAAGGTTCAAGATCGCGATGAATTATTGCTTCAGGTTTATGCTCATGTAAATAATTCATTCCCCTGTAAAACATGTTTGAATTATGTTAGCAAAACTACGACGTAATAGAAATAGAACAAACAAACCCATAACACAGTTTGGGTAGAAGAAATCTAGACCAAGGTCGATAAAATTTTTTCAGTTATATCCAATTCAAACAAAAGAATTCGTCCAACACTATATAGAATTTGAACTGATTACAAAATGCAATCTATCTAATGTCATTCTTTTGTAAGCAGAGATTCTCTTCTGTGCAAATCTTTATGTGCACCTTCTATCTCATGTACACCTTCCATCAATCATGGGCATTTTTAGTTATTTTTTTGTTGAAATCACTATCCAAATTTTTGTTCCAGTAAGAAACTGCACTTTCATTATGAAAAATGAAATTCTTAGTGAAAGGATATATGAGGGAATATAAGAAACAATCTCCAACAAAAATTTCAACCATAACTACAAAAAGGAACTTCAATCTAAAAGAACAAGACCAAGATCATAATTAGAAAAAGACTTTGTGACGACGCCCACAAGGAGACATTAAACCTAGCCACCTCACAAACCTCCTCACCTGATCTCTTGACCTCTCTAATGAAAAAGTGATCTCCTCTGAAATTCCAAGTAAATATATGTATATGTCATTACATTATTCATGATGAAGCCATCTTAAGTAGCCATCACATCAAGATAATCTAATTTCAGAACTATGTGAAGACACACCTTAAATGCAAGGATCAATATGAGCTCTTGGCAACGTGAGTGATATGAAGTAATACTATAATTTCAGAACTATGTGAAGACACACCTTAAATGCAAGGATCAATATGAGCTCTTGGCAACGTGAGTGATATGAAGTAATACTAGCACATACCGTCATACTTCTTCAAATTTGTTTTTTACTATAATAATTGATCAATTAAAGATTTTCCAGACCAAAAAAAACCTTTCAAACAAGTTTAAGGAGCATAAAACTGAATTGACCTAGCAATGTCAAGAGCAAACTTAACAACTGTTGCTAGCTTCAAGGAACCTTTCCGTTTCAAGTATGCATGAAGGTCTCCCTGGAAAAAAAAATTATAACAAAAAATAATTCAGTGATATATGAAATGTGCAAGCATTGCCAAAATTCAATAAAATGTGGTATTGAGAGAGGAAGTATAAAAAATTTGGATCTGAGACACCAAGATGATGAAACCAAAACACTTCTTTCCTACTCAAATAGACCATCATCTTCATTTATTCTTTCTCCTCATCCACTATACCGAGACCAATTTCAACGTTGACATCAACTTTTACATTATTGAAAGATTTCAACATATCAAGGCAACTGCTCCACTTGAATCTTACAAAATGGTACTCTAAAGGAATGTTGCTCAGCAGATTTTCTAAGAAACAGTTTGAAAGAAAACATATTGTGCTAAACAAAATCATTAAGAATGTAAACAGATCACATTTCGATCATAACATTAATGTATTTACAAACTGAAACATGCAATCTTAAAGTTTTATGACAGCTATCTATTTCACCATGTTGATTTGTCACTTAAGCGTTTTAAACGACAAGGTTTGAAGGAATACAGTGATTTACTATTGCAAATTTCTCCAAAGAAGAATGTGGTCAAATTTCCTTCATGTAATAAAGTTGTAAAATAGGACAGACCTGTGGCAAATACTCCATGACAATCATCATTGGACTACTTTGTGTTACAGCTCCCAAAAATTGGACAACGTTAGGATGCCGTATCTTTTGAAGTAAAGCAAGTTCATCCCTGAATGCCTTCCTGTAACATTAGAACTTTACTATAAAATAGATACCAAGAGGTTAAAGTTTCATTTCAATATCTGATGCAAAGGGCACCATGAGATACTGTGAGGAACTAATGAGTCCACCTCCAATATTGATGAGTTAGTGGAAGTATGATAAACATAAGAAACAGAAACACTGAATTCATAAAACCAAACTTACACTTTATCCTCATCAGTGAAAACTTCCTCTCCTAGTGTTTTCACAGCAACTTCAATTCCCCGCCATGATGCAATGCAGAAAGTTCCCTGTGTAATCAAATTTAAATGGATTCAGAGGACTGGCAAAAGTGAAGTCAATTGATTTCTTATTTCTTGATATATAAATAAATTGACGTCCAAATTCAAATTCACTACGTACATATCAGCAGGGTTCTGTATTAAGCAATAATTAGAATAAACTGGCTATATCCTTCAATTTTTTCTTCGAACTGTAAGAGATTTCATCAATGTGCAGAAGCAAAAGTCAAACCACAAGTATGAGAATCGTAAGCTAGATAATATTGACATAGTTTTAATTGATATCCAAGCATGGAGGCTTTCTAATCTTAGCAAGCGAAGACATTGCCACCGTGCTTAGGCCTGGAGTGAGAATGTAATCATTGTGTTATGCATGCTGGATTAGGAAGTGGTTGAAATTCTTTTAGTCTTACAAAGTTCAGGCTCCTAAAGGATGAATCCAAAAATTGGCTGAAACTGTTTCAGATTTTCTGTTTCGCACATCCTAATTTACAATCAAACAGCCAATTCATTTAGAGTTTTCTCAATCTTATCTAAACTATGGAATTTGCTATGATATCAATATACAAAAAAAAAAAAAAAAAAAAAAAAA